AAAGGAAGTTCTTTACTTCCAGCCATTATCACCTGCCACGTAGGACTTGGCCATTGATGAGTTTAATAAGGCCTGAGTCTCAGTAGTTTACCATGAAGTAAAACCAAACTGAGATTACCTGAGCACCACCCAGGAACAGACCATCCAAAGGAAATGCCTAACGTTCCAACCACTGTAGATAGGGTCACCTGTCAGCACACACTCACCAGGACACCCCTAGACAAATGTCAGCCAATCAGGGGTCCTGAACCTTAGAAATCCCTCACCCCCACCTTTACTACTATAAAAACCCAACTTTACCTAGGCTCAGGGCTCTCAAGTATTCCAATATGTTGGACACATTGAGAGACCGAGTTTGCAAACTTGTATAAAATACAGGCTCTTTGTTTTTGCATACAGGACTCAGTCTCCTTGTTGGTTTCTGGGGGACTTCGCAAATCTGGGCATAGCAATGACAGCCCAGCAAAAAGCAAGTATTTAACAAGCAGGAGAATTTAAAATAAAGATTCCTTCACCTAACAATATCTGTGGACTGTAAAGAAAAAAAAATCTGCAATTATCTAGTTGTTATCCCCATCATGGGCACTAAAGGAAACAGAATTTTTAGTGGGAGGGGAAAGAAAGCATGCTGCCACTGTGCATCCCAAGTCCTGTAAATTTTTCTTTGAGATTTTATTTATTTTTATTTTATGTGCATCAATGCTTGCTTCAGTGTATATCTGCACACCATATGCATTCAGTTCTCATGGAGGCCAGAAGAGGGCGATGGATCCCCTGGAACTGAAGTTAGAGCTCATTGTCAGCTGTCATGTAGGTACTGTGAATTGAACCTGGGTCCTCTGGAAGAGCTGCCAGTGTTCTTAACTACTAAGCCATTTCTCTGCCCCACCCTACTCCTTTAAGTAATGTTTGTTTGTTTGTTTGTTTGTTCGTTTGTTTATCCTGAGGCAAGCTTTCTCTGTGTAGCTTTGGTTGTCCTGGAACTTGCTCTGTAGACCAGGCTAGCCATGGACTCACAGAGATCCACCTGCCTCTGCCTCTGCCTCCTGAGTGCTGGTATTAAAGGGGTACACCATGGTTTAAATTTTGATTTTGAGGCAGGGTTTCACTGTACAGTCCAGGCTCAGCCTCCTGATAGAAGCACACCACCACCAAGCCATTGAAAGTTAAAAAAGGAGGCAGTTTAGCCAGGTGTGGTGATGTATACCTTTAATTCTTACTCTCTGGAGGCAGAGGTAGGTGGATCTCTGTGAGTTTGAGGCCAGCCTGGTCTACATAGTGAGTTCTGGGACAGCCAGGGTTATATAAAAAGACCCCGTCTTAAAACAAAACAAAAGGCAATTTAAGGGTTTGAGCCATTTTAAACACTAAAAATGTGGTTCTGTCGCAGGGTAGGATCAAGCAATCTGGAAGCAAAGCTTGCTCTTCCTTCTGAAAGGCACTCTGAAGCAGCTCCATTCTGGTGGCCCCACAGGCAGCTGGCTTAGAATGTGTACTCACAGGTTCAAGGCTCCCCTTAGTGAGAGAAGTGGCCATAGTTGTTGACACTGGCGCCATCATCTGATGACACCTGTGTGGTTTGGCAGGGCCAAGGCGGGGAGCGGGTGAGCACTCTGATGGAGGAGGGTGAACGGGAAGTTTCCACGGCACTAACAGCTTCAGTGAAAATATGCTGTGAACTACCAGGCTGGGTTGGCATGGAAAAACCTAAAGAACGAGGCTGCCACTGTAGATGCTTGAGAAATTCTCCGTGGGTTGTTTCTTTTGACACTAGTCATTGAGGGATACATGTTTTGTTTGTTTTCTTCAGAGAATGAATGTAGCTAGGCTCTTTTTCTGCAACTCAACGGCTAACCAAAAAGTAATAGATTTGTAGCGGCATAAATATAACTTAATATTTCACTTGGAATGTCCCGACTAGCTGAGTCTTAGTATGTGCTGTCTTGTTACCTGGTTTTCTTACAGAGAGCACTTTTCTCCGTCAGAATTAATGGAAGCAACAAAAGAAGCCAAGGTAACTGACATTCGAAGTTATTCCCCAGTCCCTAAAGGAAGCCAGCAAAGAATGGTTGGCTCCGCCCCCTCAACTCCTACAGCTCCTGGAAGCTCGCACCGCCTGCTGCTCGGGGACGCCACGCAGGAAACGAGTCCTCTCGTACCCAGGGTGTTTTCTCCGTCTGTTTTCTCTCCAACATTTGAGCGCTGGCTGCTGCACCTTTGGGCCGGGAGAGGTCTCCAGACCACCAGCTCATGTATTTGAAAGGCATCTGTTTATTTTGAAAATGCAAATCTGTCTACCTCAAAGACCGAATGGGAGGGAGAAGTGATTTCAGCCTGGAGTTCCTTCCTTCTCTGCCTCGCACCCAGGGCACTGGCCACTTAACTCAACCCCTGGGAGCCCAGGGAAGAATCCACAATTAAACTGAGCAGGCTCACCGCTCTAGAATCAGCTGGGCGGGTCATGCGGGGTCTGGTTTAAAGCACCTCTGAGGTCCTTAACGAAAGAACACGGGGCTCCTTGTTGAGGGCTGCCCGGAGGAGGGCAGGATCCTGGGGCCAGAGGCTCCTATCAGTGGCCGCCCAGTCCTCAGGAGCAGAAAGTAGCAAGGTTAATGCGGACTTTGATCTCTGACGAGGCGTACCAGCTAGAATTAATTTACATTTCAGATGAAAAAGGCTGACAGTATGAAAAGGCAGCTTGTTGCTGGTATTCGAACGTGCGGTAATAGATCGGGAATTCTGAGAGGAAGTTCTGAGGACGGGCTAAGCTGCGCTGGGCTGCTTTTATTGGGAAGGAGATGAAAGGAAAACAAATTTTGCTCTGTGCTGCTCTGCAGCAACATGTAGGCCAAATGCTTCCTAAATTTTAAGGGCTGCTCTCTCTCTCTCTCTCTCTCTCTCTCTCTCTCTCTATCTATATATATATATATATATATATATATATAACGTATCTCGGCAACGTCATTAAATAAAAGAAGAGCTGGAAATACAAACAAATGGGTTCCACAGGATCGAAATTTCAAAAAAGTAATTTATGAGGAAAACAATTAGTCAGAAATTAACCTCAGAAATGGCTGTGTCGAGCTGGTCACCTGCCTCTTTATGTAGTTTTTGTTGTTGTTGCTTTATGTGGACAGTTCTATCTGGGGCATTTTCTATGGCAGGAAAGGGGGCTTATGGGGAGACAGTTGTACCAAATCACAACCCTAGCCCCAGTCCTAACCCTAAGGGCGCATCAGGTCCTGTCCATTTTGTCAGCTGAAGGCAGAGAGACTCCACCTGCTTGCTGCCACCCTGGGCACTGAGGCGTGGGTGTGACCTTCACGCCCAGGTGAGAGCCCCTGCAGAACTGGCTAATACACATTTTAATGCTACCTAGTGGCTGAGAACACTGGGGGTGAGGCTAAGGGGGGTGAGTGCTTGCGAAGCTAAAAAGAAAAGGGAGGTGCTTTAGGAAGACACAGAATTACTCTTCCCTGGTACCTGCCCACGCACTCCCACCCATAGTTGTCTTCAGACAGAGGTCATGAGGCCAGTCTGTTTTTACTTAGTGTTCACCTGGCCCTCAAATGTGATTTTCAGACATTTCATGATTTTCATATAATGGACTCAATGGATCAACAGCATACAGGCTTAAAGTTTTTATTCTAAGACATATGTTGAGCATATTGCAAAATCTGAGATCAGCTGGTATCCTGTGTGTGTGTGTGTGTGTGTGTGTGTGTGTGTGTGTGTGTGTATTGGCAGTAAGTAGTGAACATAAGATGCACTTGAGTTTGGGTTTCTTAAGCTGCAACAAGAAATCGTTCACTTTTCACGGGGCTTTGAAGTGGCAGAGGTTAGAAATCGCTAGAAATGGTGTTAAGTGTGACACGTCTGCATTTAAAGGCCACCTCTACTCCCGAAATATCTGAGTTCTTAGTGAAGATGCCTGGCCTCCACCACGGCCTAAGAATTCTGAGCAGGACCCTTTGGCTGAGTGGCCTGCTGGAGAAGATCACAGCTGTTTGAAGGCTCCGCCTCTGGCCCCCCTGCCCCCCACTTGCTTCCTGCTGCAGGATTGCCCTCCACAAGCACATTCCATCTCCAGTTTCTTGCACCCCTGAAACTCGGCATGGTCAAGATCCTGTGTCCCCTAGAACCTCAGTTTGGGATTTACAACTTCAAACTAGGGAGGGAACCTGACTTGGCAGCCATGCAGGGCATGCGGTTTACAGAAGGACTCAATGACTCCTGAGCCGGGAGTGGATTTATAAACCAGGAACCAAGGTTCACAGCTCTCAGGCTGCTAAGGGCAAGTGGATCCCAAGATCCACTGGGTGCTCTTGTGGGGCCCAGAAGATTGTGGTAGCCACGCAGACGTGGATTTTTGGGTATCCCCGAGTCTCCCTTACAAATCATCTCTCTCTCACACACACACCCTGGTTTTTCAAGACAGGGTTTCTCTGTGTAGCCCTGGCTGTCCTGGAACTTGTTCTGTAGACCAGACTGGCCTCAAACTCACAGAGATTTGCCTGCTTTGACTTCCCAAGTGCTGGGTGGGATTAAAGGCTGGCACACCACAACCAGGCAACACTGGTCACTAAGACGATGGACTTAGGACTCCAAGAAAGAAAGAGACGTGTCCAGGAGCAACATCATAGCAAGTGTGCTCAGTCCAAACTGCCTAGCTTTCAAAGACCAGCTCTGCTGTTAGCAAGCTGGGTGATAATGGATAAGTTATATCCCTTCTCTGTGCTCCAGATTCCTCTTTTATTGTAGTAGGAATATAATAAGAAGACTCCTCAGAGTCTTCTTAGGAAGCATGGCCTCTGGTAAATGAGCACGGTGCCTCAGCCAGAAGAGCTGCCAAAGGAGGTGAGCCCACCCTTGCAGACACACTGCAGGACTCTCGACTCACCCCCGTGCCCCACTGTCATCAGCCTTTCAGCTTCTCTGAACTCATTTGCCTGGAGTCACAGAACATTTCAAGTGGACGCTGCCAACGATGTTTTAATTACCTGCTTGAGCACGGACCGCAGAATCACCCCTTCTGTGGCTGATTTGCTTAAATTTCCTCCGAGCATCATATCCTCTCCAGGCTAAAAATATAAAACCATGTGCCGGGAATGACATTAATTTTAAAACGTGCCAGAGAATTGATATAAGCTGTCCAACCTCCAATCTGTTTCTCGCGTTCCCTCCCCCACCCCTACCCCCACCCGCCCCTTCTCCCTGAGCCTGAAACCAGCATATGTGGTACAGTGTAGGAAGGGTCTTTCTGAACTCTTGGTCAACTTTTCAGAATGCTTCTGAGGAACTGTTTTTAGCCAAAGAGTGATTTTTCCAGAACATTTTGAGTTCTATTTAGTAATAGTGGGCGCCCCTGGCCCCAGGAGAGGCAGTTTACTGTCTTCCCAAGCCTGGAGGAAACCCTGCCTTGAGCACCCATGTTTAAGCTGAGGGTTAGGGCTCAGAGGGATGATGGGGGGGGCACTGAGCTGGCCCAGTCCTTTTAATCACTTCATGTCCAGAAGAAAGGTATAATTGGAAAGGAAGAGGGAGAACATAGGACCAACATCTTCCACCGAAAGGAAAGACAAAGAAGAAAGCCAAGAGGAGAGAGAGAACAGAGCGCAGGAGGCAGCCATCCTTCAGATGCACAAAGCCTCCACCCAAGATGAGCAGCCATCTTCTGTGTCCCCACGTGGGCCTGAGCATCGTCAAGTCTCTGGACAAGCTCATGAGGGCCAAGGCACGCTAAAGCACGCCACAGTTTCTTGTTATGAGAGTATCAAGAAATTCATCTTCCAAGTTCAAGGTCCGGAGCTTGCATGAGAGTCCAGGTATTGTTCCGAGGATCCATGGCATACGTATGTGGACAGAGGCACCAGCAGGCTTGTGGACAACCTAGAGGCTGGTTTCCTCTGTTTATAAATCCGGTCTGTGCTACAAAACCCTACAAGGATGGTGTTGGTCATTGTGACAGTACAATCCGGGTATCACCCGAAGTGTATATCATCTGTCATTTCAGGAGATAGCCCGTGTGGAGTGATAGAGTTGGACATCACTGGTCAGCTCACATTGCCTTTGACTTATGAATCCTCCCAGGTGTTCTAATGGCTTGTATGTTTGTCTCTCCTTGAGGTCAGAGACCATAGAGGGGTGCCCTTGACTACATCCCCAGCACCTAGTACGAGGCTTAACTCAGATTCCAGTAGATACTGGAAAAATGTTTGCTGAAGTAAGAGGAGAGACAGGGGGAAGAAGAAAGGGAAAGGGGAAACCCTAGGCGAGTGGCCCCCAGCACTCAAGGAAATACCAAGAGGTAACACTGGCCAGAACCAGGCCGCATACCTGACTGGATGGCTATGGCGGCCTTCTCCCTCTTCTCTCTGGCTTGTTTGTATCTCCTGGCTCCCAGCCAGCCCTTGGTATATGCCTGCAGCATGACCACTCGGCCTAAGACTTCTCGCAGAAGCAAATTTAATTGTTCCACGTGGTAATATTTGAGAAAAACCTAAAAGGAATCATTGTTTTAGTGTTACATTTGGGCTTCCCGACAGAAAAATCCCTCCACTCCAGCCTATTCTCCATGCAAATATTAAAGCCATGGTCTAAGTAAATTTATGATTTAACTTATGCATACATTGGTGATTTCTGAAGGAAATCTAAAATGGGATTGCAGGGCTTAGACAAGCCCAGGTGTTATTTGGGAGTGCCTCCCTACAATTGGGAGTTCCATTTCCTCAGCCCAGCTCTGAGGGAGGTGTTGAGCAACAGGCCCAACCTGAGGTCAGCAGATAGTCTGGAGGCCGGGAGACCCTGATGACCCCCAGTGACCTAATTTCCAGAGAGGAAACCCACACGCAGGCTGAAACTGGCCTTGCAGAATTTAACCATAAAAACCTGGGCTCCCACAGAGACATGATGTTTCCCCAAATGAAAAGCTACACACGACAAAAGTAAAATCAGAGTCGGCAATAAACAGCGCAGGTCGAACACAAGAAACGGGCGAAACTCTAAAGGGAACTCATCACTACCATGACTATGATTTATATGCTAGCATGTGTGCTCGGTTATGAAATATGGAAAAGGGGACATTCTAAAGCGCATCCAAAGATCTCTTTCTAGAAATGCTAAAAGGTTCTCAAATTACAGAACAGTGTATGAACCATCCTCCTATGGCTCGTGGGTCCCGGAATCAGAGTTAAGACCGGCAAAACCATTTTTAAGTCAGAGTCCTGCGTGCTATGGTATGCCGGTACAAACCCACGCGAGCGAGTTATCCACGACAAGAGAGCACCACAGGTGACAGTCTGAACAATAGGGAGAGAGGGCTACCTTTGTTTTCCCCAGGACCCAGCGATCTAATCTGGACTTTTCCAAGATAGCAACACAGCTCTCTTTGTTAGCAGGTGGTGTTTGATGCGCTCGGAACGCCAAGTAATAATACCTAGAAAACAAAAGAGCAAACAGCCTCTTCGGTCACCCCTTAATTTAATGGTAGAATTGTTCAGGACCCACTGGAGAGTCTCATTTTTCTCCTAACTAGTAAATTTTTCTGACTGTCAATAATAGCCCAGTAAGTAGTGAAAGATGTACGATTTATACCTCATTTCTTTGCTTTTCCCTATGTTCATATTTTTTCTTTTAATGTTGTCTTTTTTTCTAACCCATATTCAATGTCTATTTTTTTGTCTTTCATATGCAAAAATTAAAATATCTGCTCGGTTAGAATGCTGGGATTCAGAAAGCTGCTCTAGTGAATACCATAGCTGTAAATGCTAAGGTTTAGAGTGCACTGCAGGGCTTTTGACTGGGCTTAGAAAAGTCCCATCTGAGGCATAGTGTTGCTGGCAGGTGATCCCTAAGTTTCTGTCTGAAGGAGGCATGTCCGCTCTTAGCACATTTGCTTTCTCAAATGCCTTCATTTTCGTGACCGTCTAAACTGTACGAAGAAAGGGCTTCAGGGTAGGGTCAAAGAGTACCACTGCAGAAAAGGCCAGGTGTTTTATCCTTGCTCATAACCAGGTTCATGGTTGTGTCCTTATAACAAAAGGCACAGTACCAAGGGAAAGGCACACATATTTATTTGATGCCAGTTCTCTATGGCATGGGAACCTTCTTTCATGAGGAAATGAAGTCCTCAGACACAGTCATTCTTGAATACTCTTATGCCAGGTTTGAAAAAAAAAAAAAAAGACAAGCTACACAGAGAAAAATACAGACAAATTTAACAGCAGAGGTCTCTCTCTGTCTCTCTCTCTCTCTCTCTCTCTCTCTGAGACAGGGTTTCTCTGTGTAGCCCTGGCTATCCTGGAACTCACTCTGTACACCAAGTTGGCCTCAGACTCACAGAGATCCACCTGCCTCTGCCTCTGCGCCACCACTGCCCAGCAAGTTCTCAATAGGAACAATGAGAGCGAGAGAACAGTGGATCAAATCCTGAAAGCACCAAAAGAAAATAAATCCAACTGTCAGGGAAGACAACACACAAAAACAAAGGCAAGAGAGGACTATTTAGGACACAATAAAAGCTGAAAGAATTTATCCCTAGATGATCTTCTCCTAAAGAAATGCTAAAGGAAGTCCATCACTGAAGAAGGAAAGTAGTTCCAGATGGGAGAATCACTCTATCGAAAGGACTGAAGGGCATGCTATGAGAACTATCTAATGGTAACTATCCAAAATACTTTTCTTATGACTTAAATATCTCTACCCTATTGTTACTGAGCCAAAATAATAGTAATATATCGGATTTATAATACACAGAGACATGAAATATAGGACGAGTATAGCATAAAGATCAGGAGAAAAGAAACCGAAGTGGGTTATCACAAGGGTTTTTGCTGTGTGGAAAGGCACAGTGTGGATTTAAGGTAGGCTAAGAGAAATAAAGATGCGTGGTATAAATCACGAAGCAAGCCCTAAAATAACCGAGCAAAGAGCTACAAGTAACAGATCAACAAAGGAGATAAAATGAAACTGTGCAAAATGTTCAATAAATCTTGAAGAAGGCGGAGGAGGAGACAGTGATGGCAGCCACAAAGATCAGATGTGACTAATAAAAACCATGTAGCAAAATGTCAGAATAAAACCAACCATATGAGTAAGAACGCCAAAGGGAACATTTTAAACTTTGCTACACACACACACACACACACACACACACACGCACACATTCTCGTGACCTCTCTGTGTGTGTGTGTGTGCTTGCATGCTCGTGCACATATGTGTGTGTCTATCTCTGTCTCTTTCTCTCTCCTGGCTACTCACACCCACACCCTCACACCCACACACACCCACACACACACACACACACACACGTTTACTCTGTGTCTCTGAAGTGCTTGATGAGCCCCATCCAGGCCCTATTGCTGTCCTTTGGACAGAGACAGCTATAAGCTGCTTCTTCTTATTGCACTATTTTTGTTTGTTTGTTTGTTTGTTTGTTTGTTTGCCTTCATATATATGTCTGTGTGAGGGTGTTGGATTCCCTGGAACTGGAGTCACAGACAGTTGTGAGCTGTCCTGTGGATACTGGGATTTGAACCCCGAGTCCTTTGCGAGAGCACTTAGCGCTCCTAATCAGTGATCCATCTCTCTAGCCCCTTGCTCTGCTTCTTATGATGCCGCAACAGGGTAGAAACCAGGCCTTCCCACCCCCTTGAAACAAGAGGATACGGCAGGTGACTCCTTTCCTCATTACCAGTTCTTCCTCAGGTGGAAGAATTCCGGCCCTTGAATGGCGTGTGAGCAGCTGGGGTAACCAGTCCCACAGCCCCTTCACATGCCCACAGGCCTCAGAGACTTCCTGTCCTGGCGAAACTCTGCGGCTCGGTGCTCCAGGGGCCTAGCTGACCCCTCTAAGAAACATTAAGACACTGGAGGGAGTGGAGTTATTGATGTGTGTGCGTCCTTTCTATATGCCACATCCACACACCCGCCATCTGCCTGTCTGCCTTTGAATAGAGGAGGAAGGCAGAAAGAAGACGGCTCACAGTTGGGAACACGGTAAGAGGACAATCCGAGACCATCTTCTCATGTGAACACAGGCCTCTGCCCCCGTCATATTTGTGTCTCTGGAGCCCATGCCCCCCCCCACGGCATGGTCTGACTCTCTAAGTGGCACCTGGGATGCCCACGCATTTCTGCCTCTAGAACCAGGGTGTTCCCGTGAGGAGCTGGATTATGAGGCTTTCGCTAGCGGTGTCGACTTCCTACGGCTGAGCAGCAGCTGCGAGGCTCCCATCCACCAGCCTCGTGTTTGGAGTGGGATAGGAAAGTCATTTGTTTCCCAGTGGAAAGCTGTACGCATTGTTTTCCTAGACCCGTGTGGGTTATCAGAGTCTAGCCTTGCTCTTCCTCTCCGAGCCGCTCTGCGGCTCTTTCTAAACAGCTGGCACAGGGCAGCAGCTGTAGCTCGGTGGTGAAGGGCTGGCTTAGGATACACAGCGCCGTGAATGTGTATCCTCAGCACTGCTGAATGGCAGCTCCTGATAGATACAGAAAGTCAGCGGAGCCTGGTGGCATCTTAATTGATTTCTTCCCTACTCTGGAAAGCCAGTATTGTCCCTGCTTGTTGTTCATCGCAATGTTCCTTTGCTTCGCAGAAGCCGTGCCGCCTAGACCTTTCCTACCGACGATAACATCCGCCTGGTCCCTCTTATCATATGTAGAAAATGAATGCTTTGAACACTTCTGTATTCCATTCGTGATTTTTGTCTTCTTCTGTATGTTATCTTCTGACAAGAGAAAGACAGAATGCAAATACCCAGGCTAGAGGGACTTGGCCCAAAAGGCACACACAGTCACGTCTTAAGTCAGGCAGTCCTTGCTCCTGGGCTGACAACACTGGGCAGTCCTAATGGGCTTAGCGAGTCCCAAACCACATATGACACCTTTTCTATGAATAATTTTCAAAAGTAAAATACCAGTTCGTAGAATATGTCCATGATAGACTCTACCAATGGTCAAAACATTTTCTTTAAGAGGTCACACCAATTTATAATACTTGAATTTATCTCTCTCCACCTAAGTTCAAGGAGTCTGAACTTACTGATGCCTGCCAACATATATACCAGATGATACAGTTATCCCTCAGTATCCGTGGATACTGGTTCTAGGATGCTCAGGTTCAGAGTTTTGAGGGGAAAAAAATCTGTGCATGCTCAGTACAGATGTGAACTTTCAAACAATATTATCAAGACAAGTTGGTCAACTCTGTTGGTACTGAACCCACGGATGTGAGAGCTGACTATTGAACTGTGCTCTTAATTTTCATTTTCTTTTAAAACAATGTATTTATACTATACTATTATTATTATTGTGTATGTATGTGTGTGAGTGAGTGTGTGTGTGTGTGGTGTGTGTTTGTGGGTACGCATTGATGCCAAGTGCATCTGTGGAGGTCAAAGTTCAACTTGTGGGAGTTCACCTGGGTCATTTTCGAATTTGTTTGCCTACACTGTCTCCATGTTTTCTGTATTATGCTGGTTTCTCAGTCTCCTTTGCTTATTCACAGATACGATTTTGTGCAATCTCTAGTTCAGGTATTCCCAACAGGCTCTTATGGTTGAGGGTCAGTCCTCAAAGTGGTGGGTTTTGGAGGTAGCTAAAGTTTTAAGAGCTGGGGCCATTATGAAATGTTAGGTCATTGGAGGCCACCTGGAAAAGATCATTACCAAAGCCTGAGTCTGTCACCTATGCCTCTGATGTCCTGTGACAAGAATGTGGACTCTTCCAGCCACTGTCATGGCTCTAGGATACAAACTCTCCACAGCTGATCTCTTGCTAGTGCCATAAGCTTGAACTTTCAAAAACAATATGATCGAAATGACCTAAATAAACCTCTTTTCTTTATAAGCTGCCCGCCTTGGGTGTTTTGTTACAGCAAGGAAAAAGATAATTGATACATAATGGGCCAGACACTGGTAGAGGTGCTAACTGGTACACATGAGCAATGTAGACACTTCCCTTCCCTCATGAAGCTTATATAACAATGGGGAAGACAAACATTAAACAAAAATGGGGAGGACACCAATTTGGGTGGGGATATGTCCTATGAAGAATACTACACCAAGATGGTGGTGGGGGGGGGGTCTGGGTATATTTGGGGATATTCTGACAGGCAGCATTCAATCAGGATAGTGAGGTAATTTAAACCATGTCATGATGGTAGATACTGGAGGAGCTGGAAGCATTGGGCTTAGAAACAAAGAACAAGGTCTCTTAAAGGGTTGTGTACAGACCACCTAGACTAGAATCATCTGGAGGCTAAAAAAAAAAGGTGTTGTGCTTTCAACACGCTCTAAATCTCTAGGGTTGGCCGTGGGGATCTGCACTTTAGTAAATGTCTCTGACATCTCTGGCTTCAGGGAACATGGCAATTACCTCACGTAGGCACGACTTTTCCAGTGATGCCGGAGGACAGAACTGAGGCAAGTGTTCAGA